TCAATGGCGAGTACATCACTCACCTTCGATTTGCCGACGATATAGTCCTTATGGCAGAATCGCTGGAGGACTTAAGCACTATGCTCAATGACCTCAATAGTGTCTCCCAACGGATAGGTCTTAAGATGAACATGGACAAAACAAAGATTATGTTTAATGTCCATGTCACACCTATGCCGGTAGTTGTTGGGAGCACTATGCTCGAAGTTGTTGACGAGTACGTTTATTTGGGACCAATAGTCCAACTAGGTAAGTCCAACTTCGACCGAGAGGTCGACGGATTCAACTCGGCTAGGCAGCGTTCGGGAAATTACGACATATCTTCTCGTCAGGTATACCTTAATCTCTAAAAACTAGATTGTACAACCAGTGCGTGTTGCCAGTGATGACATACGGATCTGAGACGTGGTCCTTCACTGCTGGCCGTATGAGGACGCTCAAGGTCGCTCAGCGAGCTATGGAGAGGGCTATGCTCGGAGTTTCTCTGCGTGATAGACTCAGAAATGAGGATATCCGCAGTAAAACTAGAGTGACCGACATAGCCCAACGGATTAGTAAGCTGAAGTGGCAATGGGCCGACCATATAGCTCGAAGAACCGATAACCGATGGGGAAGAAAGGTTCTCGAGTGGCAGCCTCGTACCGGTAGGCGTAGTGTAGGGCGACTCCCCACTAGATGGAGTGACGACCTGGTAAGATATGCAGGAAGTCGATGGATGCAAGTGGCTCAGGACCGTGCTTTGTGGCATTACTTGGGGGAGGCCTATGTTCAGCAGTGGACTTGTGAAGGGCTGTAATGATGATGATGATGATGATGAAGTCCCGCCGCATGTATTTGGAGATCTGTCCGTTCAGTTGCCTGTGATGTCAAATTTGCTGAAGACTGCCGCTTCATTTTCCGTCTGATAGCTATGAGGTTAAAAGTGTGATCGGAAAGTTTTTGTGTACTTCTGGTTCTTCTGCTTCGGGTCTTGCAAAACTTAGCTCCGATCGTATGGATAGTTTCCACGAGCTTGTCGTTCATATCGTCCACTGCATTGAAGTCTTCTAGGCACTTAAAACGATTTTGTAACTCGATCTCAAGAGCTTTCGGAACTTTGAATGTATAGTACGAGGGGTGTGAAGCGTTGACTTAATTAGGCGTGACGTTTCCAACTTAACGTTAAGCTTCAGTGTGCCTCTCACCATTCGGTTATTCTGAGTATAAGGTACGCAACCCTCGTCGACACTCCACCAATCTTTACAACGTTATTAACGAGAACTTGTGGGTGATTGTGAATGTGAATCCGACAATTCCTTGGGACAAATGATCGCCCTCCAGGTGATAGAAGTTGCTGGATTCGAAGATTACCGTGCCCTCCCCCCCTTTCAAACCTCGGATAATTTTTATTTTCTATAAAATTTCATGAAGTTATAACGTAGTAGAGCCATGGTATATTATGGTTGCGGTCGACTCAATCGGGTTCACACTCTCACAGCAGGTGATGTTGTGAGTTGTGTGATGAGTGTAGAGAACCGTTCATTTATATGCCCATGGGTCACATCATCACCTTTCCATCAGGTGGCCGGGTATGTATTTGTCATCCTTATTCATTAAAAAAAGAAGTGTTTAGTAAAGACGTATCATTTTTGCATTATTAAGCTTATTAAGTCTCCAATGTAAAAGAGGTAGGGTAAATAAGAGAGATTAAAATAACACAGCCTTATAGCAACCAATGCAATTAAAATAATGTGACTTAATCTATTCTTTATAGGCTATTACCTTGAACGAATTTAATTCGTTCAAGGCTATTACTTTCTACCAAGAATGTGGAACTTACATTCCCTGTCTACCGAACGCAGATAAAGTTGACTTTTAAGGAATAGTTGGAATATATCTCCTTACCACTTCACTATATAGCGGCGGTGTAAAAAAATCCACTACCCTAATGTTGTAAGGAGGCGACCAAGGGAAACTAATTGATAGAATCAGGCGTTACTTTGCGGAAATTCATTATAAGTAAGATATTAATATCTATTTCGTAACCATCCGCTTAATTAAATACAATGATGTGTCTTACCTGGATTGAAGAGCATCTCCCGCCCTCCCTCAAGTAGCTAAGCGGTTAGCCGCCATAGAGTCTACATCACCTGAGGATGCCTCGTGTAGAGGTGAAACACGTGTCGTATTATCTTCGATGGTGTGTCTTTCCTGGAATAATGGTGCTGGGACTAGTGGTGGCGGGATTGGTGCACGCAATTGAGGGAATGCGGGAGGTGCTCTTCAATCCAGGTAAGACATATCATTGTATTTAATTAAGCGGATGGTTGCGAATTAAATATTAATATCTTTATTGCAATGGAAACTAAATTAGATGCGTAGTAGCATCTCCCTGATAAAATCCGAAAACAATTTAAAAAAACTGCGGTTACCAACATGTCTGCCAAGTGCGGCAATTATGAAAAAATCCCCCCTAAGAGGCAATCTATGGGGGAGACTTATTTTTTATAGGAGAGGGGCAAACGAACATACGGCTCACCTGATGGTAAGTGATTACCGTCGCCCATGTACCTATAACTGCAACACCAGGGGAATTGCAGATGCGTTGACGGCCTTTTAAAAAGGAGTAGGCTCTTTTTTTTAAAGGTCCCTAAATCGCACCGGTCCGGAAAAATCTCTGGTGGTAGTCGATTTCACAAGGAAGTTGTGCGAGGAAGAAAACTTCTTTTAAATCGCACGGTGGTGGACCGCCAGTCATCCAGATGGTATGGATGGTATCGCGAGTTTTGTCGCGATGTGAGATGGTGATAGACGCGACTTATGATCAGCAGTGGACTCTTGATAGACTGTAATGAATAAATGAATACGTCCTAAATACTGTTCAATAGAAAATAACAACCTGTAAGCACTACGTTTAAAAATATTTTACGACTTGATTATACTTAATAATAATAATAATAATAATAATATCTAATAACGTTTATTTCTCAACACAAACAAAGTTACATTTAGAGTTATGAGTAAGTAGTACATAACAACTTTTCCCGTGGACCGCTGGTGCCTATGGTGGGTAAGATACCCGTATTACTGGTCACCAGGTCTCTACCTCTACGAGGAATGCTATTTGTGTCTAAACATTAACACATAAAGATTAACTATACGAGTATTTCCACATTTGTCATACCCAATGAAATAACTGTTTATAATTAAAAAAACTTAGAAAAATGTGTGCTTGTGTGTGTGTGTGTGTGTGTGTGTGTGTGTGTGTGTATGTGTGTGTGTGTGTGTGTGTGTGTGTGTGTGTGTGTGTGTGTGTGTGTGTGTGTGTGTGTGTGTGTGTGTGTGTGTGTTTTGGTGTGTACGTGTATGTGTATGTTACACGACAACCTTCAAAAGACTTTCTGTTTTTGCATAGGTTTGCTTAAGGAGCCAGTTGAGAATAATGTTTTTGCACTCATATTAATTTCGAGAAAAGAGGGATAAGATTTTATGCAATTTATTATATAAATAGAGGCCAAGGAATATGAAGATTCTGTGACTAAATGCACTTTTAACTTGAGTAGACGTTGCAACTAGTTGGGTACGTCGTGTCCATTCAGGAATATAGGTATTTTTATAATGGCGACAAAACTAATAATGAAGTTTAATTTACTGACACTCATAAAGAATGTTACAGACTTATTGTTGATGAATAAATAAGTAATATACAGGTTGATATTTCATAACATAATTATTACAAAATAATAAAAAGAAAGTCCCATTAATTTCGATAAACGTGTGGTACTCCTACTGCACGAGATATTTCCGATCCCGTCGTTTACGTAACTCGCTTCGCTCGGATCTCGGCTAAATGAGCGCTGAACGGCTAAATAATTCCAGGCGAGATTTCGCGTACATTTTCGCCTGTTTAATCGATATGCCGATAAATGGAGTAATGTCTGTATTTGCATGCGCCCTCCCGTTTAAAGATGATACTATCTGATTGAAGTTGGTGTCGCACGTAAACGTAGATAGGTTTAAGACTTCTTTTTTGATCAAATATGATATTGACTGATATAATTTCGGAATAGTTGTAGCACAATAAAAATTAATGAACTATTAAAAGAATGAAAGTTCATATTTATTATAAACTAGCTGGCCCGGCAGACGTTATTTTGACCTTTCTGGTTGATTACGCGATGAGGTTCATTTTCACACACACACACACTTTTCTATAAACTTAAAATACGTAATACGTACCTATAGCTAAATTGTCGACGAACGACGAATAAATTCACCACAACCATTATGACAATAAACTTATAAAAAAAAAGAAAAACATAACCCTTCTTTTTTACTCTACCGTAAGCGGATAAAAAGTTGCCTGTATACACTATCATTTACTGCCTAGACACCAACTTTCATGGACATTGACATCAACTCGTTATACAACTGTATACAACATGTAACAAAAACCCTGTGGTTCCCGTTAACTGCGTTATCGGAATCAGTATGCAAGCATATGGAAATATTTTTTTTTTCAAAAAAAATTAAAAAAATTAATTTTAATGAAAAAAAAATTAATTTGCAAATGGTTTTATTATCTTTGCATTGGCCGAGGAGTAAGAGGATTGTCAAAGACCCCGCATTGCGATACTGTGTGAGTTAGAGGAAATAAAACCACATGCAATTTGCAAAATATTTTTTTCATTAAAATAAAAAAGAATTAAATGCGTTTTTTTTTTTTTAAAAAAAAATCTTTCTATACGCTTGGCTACTTATTCTGATAATACACTTAACGGGAACCACAGGGTTTTGGTTACATATTGTATATGTATAAAAAAAAATATTATTTTTACATTACTTGTTTAAATTTTACATCTGAAATTAGCCCAAAATACACTATTTTTATAGCGCTACTGAAACTTTTGTGCAAGTTCAACAACATATAGTTAATTTTGGTTTCGTCATTTTGAACGGCTAATAGGCGATATGAAAGAAGAAAATGCGAATACTATTTTTTTATGACCAAAAATTTTCAGAATGCGCCTTGAGAACTACGAGCAATGGTGCGCGGTAGACGCTGTAACCCAGGGTTGCGCTGGCTCCCCGGCAGCTTGCCGCTCTGCGGTGGTAGCTGTTCTAGGAACCCAGCTGCGTGCTGCTTGCGCCTGTCGTGGGACTGACTTCGCCCAGCTCTATGACTGCCTTGGCTGGCAGAGGCTGCTTTGGCTTAACCCTTGCGTCGGTGAGTTAGAGGTTCATCTGTGTTAATTACTAGTATTATTTTGTTTGCCGGAAATAATTTAATGTGTTACATATACATGTTGGTTCCCTTTAATATATATGTATAAAAGGAGAAATAAATAACTTCTACATATTCTTTCTTTCTTCTTTTTCAATTCATTCTTTCTTTTATCAAAATTCATCCCAAGGAATCTGAATATGTAATATAAGTATATATTACTCCTATTCGCCTCGATTGACTGCCTTATTAGTCCAGCGGTTGTAACCGCGACTGCTGATCATGTGTTCCCGGGTTGGGCCAAATCAGTATTGGGTTTTTCTGTCAAGAAATTCTCAGTGGCAACTCGGAGTCAGGAAGGTGGCAGTGTTCCACCCTTACGCCTCATAAAGCACAGAAATCCGTTATTCCTGCGTCTGATCTCTCCCCGGTCGTGACGGATTGGCCTACACAAATGGCCAGTCACCGTCGCGACAGACCGCCCTGGCCGAAATTCGGTCCAGTGAACATTCATATACTTCATAGCTCTTACTCTTATTATAGATAACTCTTGATTGAGATACAATTCTGAATGAATATACCACTATTTTTACGTCACAGACCTAGCCAGCCTCAATTGATAGCACCACGTGCCTAGAATAAGTTATTGTGTTCCAAATTTGCCCTAAAGAGAATATCTTGTATTTAAAACAAACTTACCTACCATAAAACTAATTGGCTTAATTAATAAAATTCCGATAATTATATAACTTCCAAGATGAAATAGACGTTAATTAATAATCACGATTTCTAAATATAAAAAGCTATACAAGTTTAACAACAACGTTTATTAGGAAAATTACGATATAATTACGACGTTCTTTTTATAACTACGGAAATATTCCATTAAAATGAGAGTGCGTTAAAACCGCTTTACAATTTTTTACAGTGGAATCACAGCACGACTACCACATGAAGACGTACGGGTCCCTTCTCACAACCACGCCTTTCGATAACGGAATCCGTTACATCACCGTTCCACCGGAACCAGCAATTCACCACCGAACAACCACTCATCACCACCGACATACCACTCAACATGGCGCCTCGCAGGTCGAGCAGGTATACATTATTAGTCAATGATGAAAATTTAATGCTCCAGAGAATGTCAATTAAACGGACTCCCTTCGCTCTTTAGACCGAAACACAACAGCGGATGTATTCTTGTTCTGTAACGGGTATAGGAGAGTGCTACCCAGTCGGATAATTCAGCTCTATTCGGTGCTCTAAACTGTTATTTTCTGTTTCATTCTGTTCTATTCTGTTTTATTTTCTTCTATTCTGTTCCAGACAGTGCTGTTCCATTCCATATGTACTATTGTGTTTTATTCTGTACGATTCCGTTCTATTCCGTCCACTTCCATTTCCTTCCCCTCTTTTCCATTATTTTTCATTCCTTTTTGTTTTGACGGGAACTTACTCGCCGGCGGATGGATGTTCTTGTTTTTTTATGGTTTGAAGTAGCTTTTGATACGTAAAAGTGATGCGATTTTGTGGAATAAATGTCTGTGCATGTAAGAGCGGTAGTGATGAAACAAGTGTTCCAATGGTGATTTAAAACGTATCATCATCAAATATCTGCTGAATGCGGGCTTGAGTTGTCGTCTAAATCCATAGACAGAGAATGCTATAGACAAATTGATATCTTTTGTCACAGTCATACAAGAGAAAGAACAACTTACGTCGAAAAGAAATTTACGTTGTAAAGAAATGAAATAGCTGACTACATCCAAATCTTTTTTATATAGAAGAGTGGGCAAAGGAGCATATTTACCTGATGTTAAGTGAATACCGCCACCCATGAACATCCGCAACACCATGGGAATTGCAGGTGCGTTGCCGGCTCTTTAGAAAGGAGTAAGCTCTGTTCTTGAATATCTCTAGGTCGTATCGGTCCGAAAAAATCGCCGGTGGTAAACTATTTCACAGAGAGGTCGTACGCAGAAGAAAACTCCTTGTGAAACGTACAGTGGTGGACCGCCAAGCATCCAGATGGTGTGGATGGTATCGGGAGGTTTGCCGCGTAATGCATTCATGAAATTTGGCAGCTGGGATCATAGAATACTATAATACACAATAGAATGGCTGTCAACCTTATTTTATACGAGGATGGCGTCAACGGGAGCACACATACAAGCAATTACGTCGTATTATCGGTTATCACTACTACAAACACATTTTAGACTTTGATTAATGTTTTTGACACATAAATATTTCTTTATTTTTGTTTCTAATATTGACAAAATATAAATAGTTTCGACTTACTGGTTGTAGAATATGTCTCCTTTATTTAAATTCCATTTCCCGTTGTTCTTTCGACACGTAACTATTGCACAATTTGCCATTTATTAAATAATTTGCATCTGCAATTTCAATTTTAAATAATGACACGAATAAATATGCAATATTAAATAATGACACGAAAATTGGAAACGATTGATTGTGTTGACATTTATAGGTGTAAATTGACGTGTTAGTGACATGTTGGTGGCTGACACGGGCTCCAGCCACTCCCCCGTTCTGTTATGTATATATTATAGCATTCTATGGCTGGGATTAATCCGAACAATTCTTCAGCACTCCCCGTGATAGATGAGATAAAATACGCAAAGAGATGTAACATCTCTTCGCAGCGCCAGTGAATCGAGCTGATGAAGCCCCAGCCCAGAGATAGGAACAGTATTCCATGTGCGGCCGAACCTGCGCCTCGTAAAGTTGCAAGCGGCGTACCGGCATAAAATACTGTCCCGCTCTACCGAGCACGCCAAGCTTTTTAGAGGCCAATTTGGCCTTCTCTTCCAAGTTACCACGAAACTGCAAGTCACTCGATATGTCGACGCTGAGGGTTCCGATACTGGCTGAGGCAACAATTGGAGTGCCTTGAAACTGAGGAGATACGACAAAGGGGTTCTTTTTAGCGGTTAACGCGCAAACTTGTGTCTTCTGAGGGTTAAACTGGACTAGATTTAGTCGCCCCAATCCGAGACTTTGTTCAGCAAAGACTCGACTTCAGACACAAGTTTGTCCCGGTACTCGGAGACGTTTTCCCGAAAAATATTGGCTCGGCCGGTGTACAGAGCATCACCAGTGCTATCATCCGCTGAGCAATGAATGTTGCCGATTTGCAACATATCATTGATATGCAGAAGAAACCGCGTTGGTGATACCACGCAGCCTTGTGGAACACCAGCATTAATAGACTTGTAATCAGAGCTTGCACCGCCTACAACGACCTTGATGCTCCGATCTGCAAGAAAGCTGGTGATCCAATTGCACTATTTCTCGGGAAGCCCATAGGAAGGGAGCTTCGAAAGAAGCGCTTTGTGCCAAACCCGATCGAAGACCTTTGCAATGTCCAAACTAACGGCCAGTGCCTCCCCCTAGAACTCTACTGTCACTGCCCATCTATGAGTCAGGTAGACCAGAAGATCACCAGCTGATCGACCACGACAAAAAACGTATTGACGATCAGTAATCAGCTGGTGATCCTCAAGGTACCTCATGAGCTGGCAGTTTCCAATGTGTTTTGGTGAACAAGGAGATGATGGCGATGGGCCTGTAGTTGGACGGCCTGAGCGGTCACCTTTTTTATTGATCGGGTGGACGAAAACCGTCTTCCATGATTTTGGGACTACGCCTTGGGAGTAAGAGTACCGGAAAAGACGTGTTAAGACCGGTGCCAACTCTGGAGCACACGTCCTCAGCACAATTGGGGGGGATCCCGTCAGGCCCACTCGACTCGTTTATGTCCAGGGAGAGGAGTGCTTTGTGAACCGAGCGCTGTGTGAACCGCACCTCCAGCATAGAGCACTCACACCGCGGGATGGTCGGCGGCGTACTCTCCCCGTCATCGAGAGTCGAGTTGGACGCAAAGAAAGAGCCTAGCAGATCGGCTTTCTAATGATTTCTTATATTTACGCGAACACTACACATTGAAATAATACTAGTTTTTACGGAATTTATCGCGTATATTTAACTTTTTAATTACCCGACGTTTCGAGAGCTTTACAGCACCCATGGTCACGGGAAGGACTGAGATGTTCAACGTCCAGCTGTCATAGTTAACCGCGGTTACCATAGATTAAAATTTAACTTTTGTTCCGATCTACACAGTATGAACTTATGGTATCATGGAGTCTTGCAGTTGTATGCTTGGGTTGGGATTTAATTTTATTTATTATAGGATCCCAAGCAGATGGTAGCACCCAGCCATCTTCTCTATTGAAATTAGGATGTTTTTTGATTTCAATAGCCTCGCGAATCATCCTTGGAAGGAATCGGTGTTCTTTAGCGAGGATTTGTGGTCTATCAAATCTGATGTAGTGACGGGGGCGATCCTGTACATGTTCACAGACTGCAGACTTCCCGGAGCGTCGATTCTTCACATCAGCTATATGTTCTTTGACGCGGGTTTTAATTGATCTTTTAGTTTGTCCTATGTAGGAGAGACCACATTCACAATCAAGCTTGTACACTCCTGCATCTTGCAGAGGGACGTTACACTTGACTGATGGTAAAAACTGACCAATCTTCTTCGGCGGCTTGAAGTATGTTTTGATGGAAGCGCGCTTCAAGATGTAGCCAATCTTGTCAGTGACTCCTCTAACATATGGCAGTACAGCAGGTACACGCTCGACTGTGGCCGGCTTCACTCGTTCTCTGTGACGTAGGCGCGGGACCCGAAGCTTGTTGTCATGCAAAACTTGCTTGACATGTTGGAGCTCGGCAGCCAGGTGTTTACTGTCACAGATCCCTCGTGCTCTCTGAAACAAAGATTTACCCACGGTAGCTAACTGTGAAGGATGGTGGTGAGAATCACCGTTTAAATATCTATCTGTATGGGTCTTTTTTCTATACACAGTATGGCTCAAGGTGTTATCAGGATTCCGAATTACTAACACATCTAGAAAAGCTAAGGAATTGTTTGCCTCTAACTCCATTGTGAACTGAATTTTAGAATTTATAGAGTTAAGATGGTCTAAAAATGCAGTTACTTTATCTAAAGGTAGAATTGTGAAAGTGTCGTCTACGTACCGCTTGTAGAAACTTGGATTTATGGGAGAAGTAAGCAGGGCTTTCTCCTCAAAGTCTTCCATGAATATGTCGGCGACAATGGGAGATACAGGTGAGCCCATCGCCACACCATCTACTTGCTTGTAGAACTCCTCCTTCCACAATAGGTAGCCAGATGTAAGGCAGTGTCTGAGTAATACTGCATATTCTACGGGCATGTTGTTTTCTTCCAGCCTTCTAGTTACAATTGAGATGCAGTCTTCAACAGGTAAGCATGTAAACAATGACTGCACATCAAAACTGACCATAGTTTCATTGTCTGCCAGACGTAGGTCTTTAATCTCGCTGACAAAATGGTAGGAATCCTTTATGTGTGCTCTTGTATGTCCCCTGAGCGGTGAGAGTATTTTCGCTAAGTGTTGAGCCAATCTGTAAGTTGGTGAATCGATTTGGCTCACTATGGGGCGTAATGGAGCATTGGGCTTGTGTATTTTTGGTAACCCATACAACTTTGGTGATTTGGCGCACGTAGGTATTATCCATTTTACGTCCAGATTTAATTTTTCGGAGTGTTTCTTTATGAGGTCACTAGTTGTTTTTAGTGTGCTATTTGTTGGCTGTAAAGCTCTCGAAACGTCGGGTAATTAAAAAGTTAAATATACGCGATAAATTCCGTAAAAACTAGTATTATTTCAAGATCGGCTTTCTACTTTGCGGCATGGGCTAGTGAGTCGTCCTCCCTGTGCAGAGATGGAAGTGATGGCTGACAGAAATTCCCCTGGACAGTCTTGGCGAGAGACCAGAATGCACGGGTTCCAGAAGGAAGGTGAACTAGTTTTTCGCCAATTCTGCCTATGTGCTCTAACTTTGCCTTGGCAATGACTCTTTTGAAGGACCTGGAAGCGGAATTTTACTGCTTTTTTAGAGCGCTGATGTTTACATCCCGGGACATTGATGCATCAGACCAGGCTTGGTAGCACTCCTTCTTATAGCATGATGCTATTTTACAAGAGCGACCAAATCATGGCTGAGATTTGCCTCCGATGGGCACCACAGAGGAAGGGATAAAAAGTTCCATCTCCTGAAGTACAACATCAGCCACAGAATCAGCAACAACCTTGGGATCGTCCGGCGAGAAGCAAACCCAAGGGCAGGATACAAAGAAAGACCGAATCCTATCCCAATGAGCTTACCTATAGTGCCAAATACTGCGGCAGCCTGCAGAATGCAGCCGTGATTTCAGTGTGAGTGGCACCACACTCCGGACAAGACAAAGGACAAAGGGGCGTCGACGTCGACGGAAATTTGATATCAGTCCGGATGAGAGGTCAGCACAAGATCCAACAGGGAAGGTGCATGATCCTTCACATCTGGAATCCGCGTAGGCGAAGTAACCAGTTGTGTCAGACTTGGTCAAAGAGTCGGTCTGTTTCAGCATTACCGTTATGGGACCGTAGTAGTCGTACGGTCGTCGCAGTCTACGCGTTGGCAAAGGATGGACAGGTCCGAACCTTCAAGACTGCCGAGGCGTCGAGAACAGATGTCCTCTCTGACGTATACGCAAAACTCCAGCCCGAGGCACAAAGGAGTGTTCCAGTTTGTACCCTGGATAGGAGAGACACGAAGCATCAGCCGGAGAGGACACCTGCGTCTCAGTCAGAAAGAGCAGAGCCGGCCTCGCCACCTCAAAATGGTAGTGGACGGCGTTTAGGTTAGAATGATGTCCCCTGATATTGCAGAAATTCACGGATAGCGTGGCAGGGGTCGCCTTGGTCTTGTTGCTCAGCTTGCCCCGAGTACTTATTGTCTTGAGCGGAATTTCGCCCGCCACCCCCCCCCCCCGAATACGCGGGGCATCTGAGCACCCACGCTCAGGAGTGGAGTAACTTGGTCGTGGATGCTCAGCGAGGGATTCTCCAGGGTGCTGGTACCCTCCTGAGGTAGATCTTCACTTAATTTCACTCTACTAAAAATAATCTACCAAATCTTACCATAATATCGCGATAAATCTACCAAAATTTTCGCAATATGACACATCAGCATATTATTGTCAAAAAGTTTTTGACACTGCCAAAAATACCACCGTGCGAGTCCAATATCAAAGAAAAAATATTGCAAAGTAAATGATTCATGATTGATGATTGTGATAAAAATAAAGTTTAATAGGTACTCAAAGGAATAAAGAGAAAAGAGTTTTTGGCGGGAACTTGACCGTCGAAAGATTGTTGCTCCTGTTTTATCGTCTAAATAATGGTTTGAGGTATGTGAAAGTGATTCGATTTTGTGTATTAACTGTCTGCGCATGTGAACTATTAGAGAAAACAACCAAATAAGTGCTTCGATGTTAATATTATAAACCTTAAGTTATTTTGATCTCTTAGGCGTCATTGACTAGACTGGATAGGTCAAGCTGTCGTCAAAATCTCCCAAAAACTTTGCAATGTTACGCATCAGCATATTATGAAGAAAAATCTATAAAAACGGAGACTCCGAATAAAATCAAGACATGGCTTAAAAAACAAGCATCCAAGCTAAAAAATCTTAAAATAAAAAAATGTAATATAAAGTATAAACGTAAATAAAAAACTTTTTGATTTATTTATTGGAGGAAATCAATGAAAATATAATAAAATAACAAAAGTAAATAAATAATGTGAATTGATAATATCGACCTCAATTTTATGTCAAAGCTATTAACTACAGACGATTGTATGGTAAATAACCTGCATATTTATTCAACTTTAAACAATTATTTTGTGTTCAAGCAAAAAGTGAAAGCCGTGGTAGCTCAGATGGTTAACGCTCGCTGTAAATATAACAGAAAGCGAGTAACCCGGGTTCGATCCCCGCCAGCACCAATGAAATTGTTAATTGCAATTTAAGTGCTGATTTATCACGAGCTCGGCGGTGAAGGAAAACATCGTGAGAAAACCTGCATGTCTGAGGAATAAGAAAAAATATATTTCGAAGACATGTGAAGTTCGCCAACACGCATTGGGCAGCGCAGCGGACACTTCCTTGCCCTAAAACCCTCAGAAATGAGAGGTGGCCTGTGCCCAGCTGTGGGATGTATATAGGCTATAACTTTACAAGCAAAAAGTAACACTATAAAACAAACTTAATTTAGATCTTTCTAATATTATTTTTATATAATACAGAATTTCTATTTGTAGGAACTATATTGTTTTCTGATTCTAGTTCAAATTATTTTCACATTGGCTTGCTCTGCTCGTTCCTCGTTTCGCTCGTTCGTTCCTTGTTTCATTTAGATATTTTGTTGTTTAAGTTATTTTAATATCAATAATGTGAAGTGGTGGTATAACTATCTTACTTATCTTCACGCACAATCCCTAACGGGGTAGCCAGAGAGAAGCGAAGAGTACTCGGATACCTAGATGTGCATGTATGAAGAAGTTAATGAACCTGAAAGAAGCGAAAGAGGTATGTAAGGATCGTGACACTTGGCGATCTGTTCTCTCTGGCTACCCCATTAGGGATTGAAGTGGTGGTATAAAATTATCAAATACCACATATGGCGCAAGAGGCGACAGAGGGAAACTGGAACAAGAGAAGGGCAGCAGCATAACAAGTCAAAACAATAAAACTAGGTTTGCCAAGCATGGCAGCAACAGCAAAACCCCCCCTATAAGGTATCTTTGGGGGAGGCCTATAGGCTGTAATAAATAATTTGGATTATATTGATAATAATATTATAGTAATTTAATGAAGGTCGAAAAAAATGTACTGTACAAGTCGGTTGAGTTAAGTTATAACAAAAATAATCCAAAAACTTACCTAATAGGAGAAAAATTCAGAAGTACATGTAGTAATAAATGTGCAGACCGTACTGACACGATTGTATGAATGGGGGGTTGAAAGCAGAGAAACGTAGGATCTAGGAGGAGGAGCATTGCAGTGAGGTGCAAATTTAGCTCCCAGTTTGGTGGGCACGGGGGGTGGTGGGAACTGGAAGGAATTTCTAAGGAAGGAGTCAATCAGTGTTGCGTTTCTGGCCTTTTTGTCAAATGTTAAGAACGATATATGGAGACATTGCCCCATGTCTTATTATGAAAGGCAGTATTGCTATTTGTTTGCATACCTCACCTATTTTAATGTTAACTTGTATTTCTATGGAACAGAAACAGAAACTTTTTTATTCAATATGAATTATAAATAATACTTATTGAAAGTCATTTTTTTTATTACCACTGGTTTGCAAAAAAAAACCTCTGTCCTGGGAAGAACCATACATTATGCATTAATGTGGTGGAGCCACACTCAAGATATATTATGGTTGTAGCATGAATGGGTCGGCTTGACCAAGGTAGGGCCATACTCTCACAGAATACCAGCATAAAATGCTGTAAAGAAAACCTGCTGTGTTTTGTATAGTGACTGTAGAGAACCTGAGACCCTTTTTACTGGAAACGAGGTAATCCATTCCAGTCCTCAGAGGGACAATGCATCTGCATTTTGATTCTTAATTGACAATAGATGTCTATGTGCCACAGCATCTATTTACCGTCAGTTGGATGTAATTGTCACTCTTATATAAAAAAAATTCTTTCTAACTGCTTATATATATATGTTCCAAAAGAATTTTATCATAAAGTTTTAACTAAGTATTAATATTCCTTTTGAAACCACTGTTTTATTTTCGGAATTACAGTTGATGCGAAGATTCAATAGGGCCTTCATATATTATCTAAACTAGCTTGCAAACTTAGTTCTGCAACATATGCTGTAAAAAAAATTAGAGGCATTACATGTGTTGAAATAGCTAGATTATTTTATTTTAGTTATTTCCATAGCACAATGTCATATGAAATCTTGCTATGGGGTTGTGCAACTGAGATTGAAACTATCTTTGCTTTGCAAAAGAGAGCCATAAGAGTAATTTATTACTTAGGTCTGAAGGAATCCCTTAGAGAAAAATTTAAAGAAATAAATATATTAACATTGGCCTCTCAATATAATTACAAAAATTTTATCTATGTACACAAAAACAAAAATAATTTTTATCTTTGTGAACATAGTTTAAATTAGTTATACCAGTTACTTGACTCCAAAGAGTCAGTAATTCCTTCATGGGGCAATGTATACGTACGTGTATATGTCATAGCAATTGTATAAATATACTGTAATTTATGCTTTTCTTTTAAAAGTCCCGCTGGATATCTTACTGGCTTTTCCCAGAACAGAGGTATTCTTTCCTAATCAGTGGTAAAAGTGAAAAATTACTTTCAATGATAATTACAGGTAATCAATATTTGAAAAAAAATTGGGAGTAATTCCTAACATTAGATATTGTGGAGTTGATATTAGATTTATACTTGGTAGAGCCATGTTGCAGCCATATTATTTTTCTAGCACAGATGGTCAGCTCCATCTCCATTTTTTTAATTGAGGATAGATGTAGATATCTATGTGCCACAGCATCCACTTACCATTAGGTGGACTGAATGCTCATTAGTCAATCTTATTTTATAAAACAAATACCAATTTGTCAATATATCACAAGCCTAGATCTAATTTTACAAATTATGCTTGGCCGTGTTGGTTGAAGTTAAAGCTACCAATTCGGACAATTTGTCCTAGATAAACATTCTCTTTAACAACTTCAAACTTAGTGTTACTAAATTACCAACATTACATATGACTTTTGCCTAATAATTAGCTTAAATAAGATATTTAGTATTTCCATATGACACATAATCTTTATTTATCTCTGTTAAAGGAAAACCGCGAAGTTCTGAGCCCCATCACCACACTGTCAGAGCAAACCGTTGGACCTAATGAGGTGGGGCAGATATCTGAACCGATAGTAGAAACGACCCCAGAAACAACGACCGTGGCTACGACAACGACGACTGCAACTACAACGACAACCACTACGACTACAACCACCACCACTCCAAGACCCACAACAACTCTTGAACCAACAAAGTATTGCATTGTGAAGAAACCTGAGAGTGATGATGAAGCACAGTATATCAAGATGGGGGAGACTAGGAGGGTATGTATACTATAAATTATTTTCTAAGGCTGGTAAGACAGTAGCCTAATGGCAGGACGCGGACCGCAAACTCAAAAAGGTTGTGGGTTCGAATCCGCTATTCGACTACTGGCATGAACCACTCGTAACACAAGCAATTTAAGCTTACCACGAGTGGTTAAGGGGAATATTAGTAATATTTATAGCATTGTTAATATTCTTTATTAAAACAACTATCATATTTATAATATAGCGATTTACTTCCGAACTTTGCAGTTGTGCATTATTCTGTTTGGAGTTCCTACTGTAGTACTAGTTAGAGTAAGTCCCTTAGTTGGTATAGGCCTCCTCCAACTGCTTTCATTGAACTATGTTTGGTGCTACTCTTGTCCAGTATGGTCCCATATGATTCTAGTTGGGTGACCCTGTTTTCTGACACCATCCCTTGGGTACCATAGGGTTACCGGCTTGCTCTAACCCCATTTTAGATGGTCAATTTGGGTCAGAATGTCAGCAACTTTGGTTTTATTCCTTTGTTGTTTACTCTATCCGTGAGTATTATTCGTAACATAATTCTCTCCATTGCTCATTATCATTTTGCAAGTTTCTCCCGGTGATTTGTGTTAAGGGACCATGTCTTACGACCATATGTGATACTAGGGAGAATACAGATGTAGAATGTTTCCTTGTTGATAGAGATGCTTAGCTCTTTACTTTTCATGATTTCTTTCAGGAACCAGGATTTTTTCCAGCCACTAGAAATTCTTTTGTTTATTTCCTTAGATGTTTGGTGGCTAGAGGCAATTATTTGATGCAAGTACATACATAGCATATACATTGCATATTTTTTATACAAATAAAAATAATGAAGATATATTTCTTATACTGGAGATATTACCATAATCATCACCTTTACTGTCAGATTAGCAATCACGGTAACAGACGTTTGACACTGCTTCTCTTCATTCGTTTCTTGTTCCAAGCCTGAGAGAAATATTACACGGGTTACGATGATGGGGTTTGACGCTAAAAATTATACTATGGCTCTACAAACTGTAATTCGGCCCATAATCACTAATGGCTCTCTGGTATGGTGGATCAAAACTAATGACGCCACCACTATAAGAAAGCTTCAGCGTTACCAGAGATAAATGTATGGCTTCCATGGGCTGCACAAGAACTACACCAATAGCAGCTTTAGAGGCTATACTGGAGCTAACAGTATATATACGCTTCATCGGCACATACAACAAGAAGAAACTTTAGCTGCCATTAGACTCAGGACCCTAAATCTTATAAGTAAGAGTAGAGTCCCCCATACAGGTATAATTGATAGAATTAAGTAATTAAAAAATTCCTATCTTACAAGCCAAGTATGATAGGATCCCAAAACAATTTGTATTCGATAAGGAGTATAAGATACAATTAAATGAAACTGACCAGCCGGAAGGATTAAACCCAAAAGAGCTTAGAGTTTTCACGGATGGTTCTAAGACAAATGAAAGTGTAGGATCTGGAACTTTCTCTGAAGACCTTAATATCCACATATGCACACCGCAGGGTACCCATAACACAGTCATCCAGGCTAAATGTATGGATATCATCCAAGTGGCCAGAGCAATAGATGCTAGGAAGGTAAAAGACTTCGCCATCAGAATACTGACCGACAGTATGGCGGTACTACAAGCTCTTAGTTCTAATGCGGCGAACTCTGGACTATTATATGAATTCCATCGATGATTAATTGAGGTATGTAAGCACAACAATGTGACTCTGCAATGGATTAAGGGACACAGTGGATCTAGAGGCAATGATGCAGCAGATGAACTGACCAAAAGGGGATCGGCTCTAGCCACTATAGAGCCAGAATCAATAATACCAATCCCCTTTGGCTATGTTCGTTCATTGGTTCGTAAAAACTTCAATAATTTACACGCTTAATTTGGAAAAATTTAGTAATCTGTAGACAAGCTAGGGAGGCCCTGCCTGAAATAAACAGTTGCCTAACCAAGGTTCTAATAAGACTGAACAAGCCACAGATCAGGATAGTAACAAGTGCTATCACAGGACATGGCTCTTTTAACAAACATTTGTTTACCATAGATGTTACAGACAACCCCCTGTGCAGGGCATGCATGGGGGAGAAAGAAACGGCGGCTCACGTGTTGCTGACATGTCCGGAGGTCGCTTCATACAGGGTTAAACATCTCGGCACGCCGGAATCGCTCCCCGAAGTCGCTTGCAACTTCAAAGGACTTCTTCGGGGAGATTTCATGGCTCGAATAACCACACGCAAAATACGCGCTTAGACATGGAGTTGCAGAAAACAGCCCGTCGTAAACTAAACTACGACGACTGCCCATTTATGAAATAAGAAAACCAATGTCCAACAGAGAAAGAAAGTCCCGAGAATGTAAAGTCATTTATTCATCATAGATGATTCCTAACCAAGCGGTTCAGCCTTTTCTGGTATATCTGGTATATCTAATATCTATTGGAGTCCATGAGGTCTTTCGGGCATTTCCCTAAGTTGGATATAACTACACGAAGGTAATGAATTCTCTTACGCCGACGCCGATGCCACATGGCGCCTATATTAACGTTCTACTGTATAATATACTGGATAATCTTTTTTACCGCCTAGAAAAAATATATGGTGTAACTTGTGAATAGAGTAGAAGCCTATGGCACTGATTTTTTACAAAAGATGAAAACAAAAATTTTGAATTAAATGTTTGAAAAAAAATTTTTTTAAAGATTACTTTGACCTTTGCCCTCGAGCCTGTGACTCTGCGAAGTGTCACAGGATCAAAGATGCCTACTAAATTTATTGTTTTATTGCCGTTCGTAAAGTAGACTGGTTGACTTGAATTTCGATAGATTTTAATTAAATTATTTATTTAATTCAAATGTTTGTTTTCATTTTTTGTAAAATAGCAGTGCCCTAGGCTTCTACTCCGTTCACATGTTACACCCTTTTTGTTCCAGACGGTAAAAAAGTCACCCAGTATACTCGTAAATACAAAGTACATGACTAGTGCCGCGTTTCTTTCTATATTAAAAAACGATTCGTTGTTTATACGGGCAATTTTGCAGTCAATGAAGTGCATAAACACCCTTTTTTAAAACGAAACTACAAACTATTTATGAATGGTTTAAAGTTTCTCTCTTTTAAGACCTGTAAAAAGAATCTTTGGTTCTCTACACTCACATCACGAAACACAACAGCCTTAAGCTGTTATTGTACGCTGGTATTCTGTGAAAGTGTGGTCCTACTCCGGTCCAGCCGACCCATTCGTACTACAATTAATAAAGCTGCAGCATGGCTCTACCACGTACAAACTAAGCTAACTTAACACCTGCTAAACATGGCGATGGGTGCAAATTCTGTGGAACGGGCATTTATGTACAGCTTCACGGGCTAGTGAAGATCAGTTCATGAGATTTTAAATCTTCATTTTCAGCTATACCGATCAGCGGAGCTTGCGGAATGCACAGACCTCTGTGTGTGCGAAACGTCCCTTCAAGTATCGTGCAAAGTCGCGTGTGTACCTCGTGCGCCGTGCTCTTCGCGTTTGGCACATTACTCCCACGCTGCACCAGCGTATCAAGCTTACAGAGGGAGATGCTATTGTTATTCGGGCTCTTTTATTTGCATGAGGCCAAATCCGGGTGAGTTTAATGTTTTCGTTTTTAAAGTCATATTGACAATTGTATACATCTTAATTCTTAGGGAGTTACAATGGAATTTTTTAAAATCTTTATCGAAGGTAGATGTAGCTACCTAATCGAGGATAGGATAGATGATAGATAAGTACCCATAGGTCACAGCATCCACTTACAATCAAATATGCTGTATTTTCGTGTGTCACCCGTATTTCTAAAAACATACCAACAAGCCGTTGTCAAACAGTTTTCTAATTTTTTGTTTTTATAAAACTGAAGTGATAAACGAACTTACAGTCCACCTGATGGTAAATGTCTACTGCAGTCCATTGACACCTGCACTCAATTTAAAACAAAAAAGGCTTCAAATGCGTTGTCACCTCTGTGAATAAATATGGTATGCTGCTCAGTCTGTTATTATACTGCTCTTTATACTCTATAGCTCTGTAGATCACAGCCGGACAAACACTGCTATTTGGCGTCAGAAATAAGTATGAAGATGGTACCCACATAGACAGGTTATTAGGTAGAAAAGAAGTTCTAGTAGACCTGTGTCAATGAATGAATCATTTTAGTACATTTCATCATGCGTACCGGTACATTTGGATCGATCATTCAAACGGATCATTTCGGGGTCCAGTACCCTACACTAAAAACAATTCATTCGGGATTCGGTCGGTTTTCGACTCATTCACAACTCACACCAATCACAAGTAAAAAAGGGTCCGTCAATTGCTTGTGATTGGTTGTACCGGAACATTCAAAAACAGATGAATGAACCATCAATACTTTTAAGTGTACCAGCTCAAACGAACGAATTATTCATTATTGACACATATCTACTAGATACCACTCTTACCTAGTTCAACTGCAGTGCGTGCACTCAATGTGCTCCAATTCCTTTTAAACCTGATCATAACTCTCCGGTCTAAAGAATATTGGAGCTAGTACAATAATATGGCTAGGCAGGTTTACATTGTAGAGCCACGCTGCAGCTATAATATATCAAATTCTTAATCGAGGATATATTTAGATTTAAATAATACTAGTTTTTACAGATTTTATCGCGTATATTTAACTTTTAAATACCCGACGTTTCGAGCACTTTACAGCACCCATAATCACGGGAGGGGGGGGACTGAGATGTTCAACGTCCAGATGTTATAGTTAACCGCGGTTACCATAGATAAAAATTATAAATTTTACTTTTGTTTCGATCTACACAGTATGAACTTATGGTATCTTGAAGTGTTGCAGTTGTATGCTTGCGTTGGGATTTAATTTTATTTAGTATAGGATCCCAAGCAGATGGTAGCACCCAGCTATCTTCACTATTGAAATTAGGATCTTTTTTGATTTCCCGGAGCGTTGATTCTTCACATCAGCTATATGTTCTGCAGTCTGTGAACACATACAGGATCGCCCCCATCACTACATCAGATTTGATAGACCACAAATCCTCGCTAAAGAATACCGATTCCTTCCAAGGATGATTCGCGAGGCTATTACAACTGCAAGACTTCAAGATACCATAAGTTCATACTGAGTAGATCAGAACAAAAGTAAAATTTTAATTTATGGTAACTGCGGTTAACTATGACATCTGGACGTTGAACTTTTCATTCCCCCCGGTGACCGTGGGTACTGTAAAGTGCTCGAAACAGCGGGTATTTAAAAAGTTAAATATACGTGACAGAATCTGTAAAGACTAGTATTATTTAAATGTGCAGTGTTCGCTTAAGATATATTTAGATGTCTATAGGCTACAGCATTCACTTACCATCAGGTGGACTATATAATAAAACATAGCTTGTGACCGGCAGGCGAGTACAAGCTGCCCGAGGGCGTGTACCTGCTGCTGGGCTTCAGCGCGGTGGACGAGGCGCTGCTGCGGCCGCACACGGGGCTGGGCGCCGAGGATGCCGTGCGCCTGCTGCAGCGTTACCTGCGCCACCTGCGCCCCGACCCAGTGAGTACTGTCACAGATGTAATACAACTATAGTCCGTTCGCGTAAAGAAAATAGTGAGTCATCAGTGCAACTACAGGGTAAAGGTGTAGTCTCAGTGGAGTAAAAACTTTTTTTTTCAAACATTTAATTAAGTTTAATGGAAACAAATTTTCTTAAAATTACTTAAATCACTAATCAGTATCGCTAGATTCTCCAGTTACATTAATTATGAAAGAATTTTGTTCTGCAAGTTCCATGATGTCATCCAAATTCCACATGGTATTTTCTTCGCGTATCACGTAGTTGCAGCACTTCTTCCAACGATTAGCGTCTATTAATGCTATTGCGTCATCTAATAATTTTTTTATGTCACTCATTTTGAACGTGGATTTATTGGCACCAACATAATTTTTTATTTGGGCCCAAACCAATTCAATTGGATTAAGTTTGCAATGTTAAGGCGGTAGGCGAAGAATTGTAATGCCATTACTTTTGGCAGTCTCATCTATTAAATATTTATTATATTGTGGGGCTATTTCAGCAACTCAGTTTCAAAATTTAATGTTGAACGAGTAACACGCAAAATACACAACCGTTTTGTTCGAAGGCCTGACTTCAACTGGTCACTGTGAACTCGACTTTCTAATTTCTTGCATTTTAATTGGCTGGGAGGGCGTGGCCAGGCCGGCGGACAACGATGACTCACTATTTTCTTAACGCGAACGGACTATAGGGGTGTTTAACTCTTCACGGAACCGACTCACTGATCCGAATCACTGGAGTGATTCAAAGGATTGGTTTATTAACAACGTTTCGGATGAATCATTTGGATATGGAACATTACTTTGCTCTGTGCTCATTTCGCGCGACGCTTCGCTCGCCAGGCGCTGAGCCGCAAGCGAGAGAGATAGACTGAGACACTGAGTAACTTAAATATAGACTCGCGAGTGGCGAGTGAGCGGGCGAAATAATTACAATCTATATAAGTCAAAAAGAGGTAACAAATGGTTAGTTATTGGGTGCGTTTGGCAGAAAAAAGCGCTAGCAAGCGCTTATAAGCGCTGAAATAGTTTTCGGCCAGGACACGATTGCTACTTCGGTAGCGCTGACACAATCCGCCATTTTGCTTATTTAATTTGTTTGTTTTGAAGTAGAGTTTATAAGTTGTTTTGTGCAATATTAGTTTTAAGTAATATAATGACATGAATAAACATATACATGTTATTAAACATTAAAATTCATGATTGGTAAGTTTTTAATATGAATACTTTACAAACATATATTTAAATTAGGTTAGGTCCCCCGGATAAAACTAACATCGTGTCCTGGAGGAAAATAGCTACTTACGATTTGACAGCGCTTACCGCTTACGATCGCCATTTTGCTTACAAGCGCTTGCTAGCGCTTTTTTCTGCCAAACGCACCCGTGTATCACTCAAAACGTACGGATTTTTGCTGTCGTTATTCACGTAAAAACTACCTCTAAGACGCTTACGTACGAGGGCGACACTGAAAGTTTTTAGAACTGGCCACATTTTTGGCGATTGCCAAGTCAATCTATATATTTAAAACATAAAAGATTTTTAACCTAACAACATTTTATAGTGACCATTGATATGGTCACTATAGCTAATTACGTAATAACTTAAAACAGAAGGATCCTTGAGTAGGGACTGAATAAATTAACAGACTTGTTATTACATGGATCTCACAACTTTTTACGGTAGAAGAACTAAGTTGCGAGACTTGTTTTTTTTACAAGTTATGTTTTTGATGGTATCTCATTTCTTTTTTTACATAAGATAGTCCTACTTTTTTCCTTTCCGGTACCTTCTACTTCTTGAATACCAACAACGTACCTATCTACATCTATAATACATATACAAGTACACTGATTCATTCACTGCAAATGTAACTTTGTAATTCCATATATTTATATGGGATTACAAAGTTATTTATGCAGTTGGTGTATCTGGAAAACTTTAGTATATAAACTAGATTTATCTATGTATGTATATATATGTATGTATTTACAAATTCAGTTCATGTTTAACTCACATAGCAACAGCCAGCGCGCCTTTGTGACGTATATCGCAAATGGAAACTTCCGTACCGGGACCGGTTCCTTTGTTTGCAAATGTAACTTTGTAATTCCATATATTTATATGGGATTACAAAGTTATTTATGCAGTTGGTGTATCTGGAAAACTTTAGTATATAAACTAGATTTATATACTAAACACTAATTGTATTCTAAATTTGAAGCTTCTATGTCTACTAGAAGTCCCTTAGAGTTTTGGTAATCGGTCAGTCAGTGAGTGACAAAATTAAGAAATTTTGACTAGTTATAATTGTTAAACTACTGGTTCAAATTGAATGAAATTTGAAATATACTATGTTTATACAATGTTAATACAATGAAGTTGTAGGGGGTCGAAAATGGCCTGAACTGCTTCGAGAAAAGTATGGCACGGCCGTGGCGCTTTTTGCTCGACTTGGCGGGGGTGCCCCCAGATAATAAAAAATATGAGTTAAAATTTTGAAAATGGGCCTCTTTGCCAATGTTATTGTGAATGATTTTTATCGATTTGCCATTTGTTTATGATTTGGCGGCAAATTGTAAATTGTTCTGTATCACGTCAGCATGAATTTAACACGAGAAAATTTTCTACAATGATTTTGTATGAATTTCGATGTCATTTAAGTCAACAAGAAAGTTATGATAGACTTCGATTGGCCTTTCACGATGAAGCCTCATCTCTTGCCACTGTTTATAACTGGTTTAATGAGTTTAAACGTGGTCGCACTAATTTCAACGATGATCTGCGTGAGGGACGGCCTTCTACGGTGACGACTAAAGATAATATCAATGTTGTGCGGCGTATGATAGAGACTGACAAAAGAGTGACTTATCAGCAGATTCGCACAAGCTTAGGCATCGGTATGACTCAAGTGCACAAAATCCTCCATGAACATGAACATAGCGGCCAGGAAGCTTTGTGCCCGGTGAATACCTTATAATTTGACAGAGGCCAAAAACTCCGTCGTGTTGATTGGCGTCGTGAAATGGTTCAAAGATTTAACGGAGGTGACTCAAATGCTGTGTTCGATGTACTTACGGGTGACGAAAGCTGGATTTATTGTTATGATCCTGAAACTAAGAGACAGTCTGCTGTTCCGAGGAGTTGCCAACTAAAGTGAAGAGAGGTCGAAGCGTGAAAAAAAAAATGGTGGCCTTGTTCTTCGGAAGAACAGGTTATTACGCAACAATTGTTTTAGAGGATCGAAAAACAGTTACTGCAGAGTGGTACACTAACAATTGTTTGCCGATTCTCTTGGAAAAAGTTCGGGAGAAACGACCTCGCAGTAGGATCCTCCTTCACCACCACGACGACGACGACGAAAACATAAAAAAGTCTGTAAATATAATCAACAAATCACTGTAAATAGAATCGATTTTTAAATACCAGCTGCAGCAGTACAAATTAAGAAGTAGCCGCCAGTCCTAAGCCTGAATAAAGTATGAAGGAGGATTGATTTTATATACAATCTTATTACGGTGCACACATGCATTTCACTGACTCAGTCAGTAATAAACGCCCGCGACGCAACTTAATGTATTCGTAACATTCTGTATTTTATATCTTTTGAGTCGATGATCCAAATGAAAGATATCAGTGTTTCGGAACATTTCAGTGATCCAGATGCAAATGTTCGAATCGCAAAAATTATACACATTGCCCACCTCCAAATACAACGTTCAAATCAATCAGGTGATTTGTACTTAGCATACCGCAATATTGTCCTGCTCGCCCGTATTATTTACACACACACACACACACACACACACACACACACACACACACACACATATATATATATATATATATATATATATATATATATATATATATATATATATATATATATGTATATATATATATATGTGTGTGTGTGTGTGTGTGTGTATCCGTATAGCAAACAGCAACATGGTTAATAGGCACATATGTGTGCATCCAGCAGCGTACTTTTACGGGCTAATAACGAAAGAAAGAACTAAGATGTTTGTGTGAGTGCGTATCAAAAACTTGAGCACGTTTTCGGCATCATCTGAAATTATACAGAATGTCTTTTTCTGTTTTTCTTTCTTTGTTGGTGTTAGTGTAGTGCTGGTAATAATATGAAGTGGCTTACTGACAACTTTTTTTCTTCCTTATCAGTCCGGGGCCCAGTACTGTACTGTTTATATACATACATACTGACAATTCTTTCTCTACCCAATTATATTATTACATTGTAAAAACACCACAAGTACAGTGTACGAATTAGCAGTCGCAGTATTAATTGTTTTATACGCAGTGATTTTTAGGTGATATTGAGTACTCGGCATTTAAACAGCAAACGTAAAAATCGCGCGGGAAATTTCCCGCAGTAGCAGTGCGACCTTAGCCTAAACAATACACCGAATTTATACTTACCAAGCAGATATTTTATAGCTTAAAATAACTGCTAAGTTAAATTTTGTACTTAAAAAATCTTCCAAATTTAAAATGTTCGCCAAATAGTTGACAATGTATCCGAATCGCGTAATACGCCTATTTATTTTTATATCACCAATTGTACCAATTGTATTTTTTTTCAGACAAACTGCACGCTCACTTTGTTCAACATTAGCAACGAAAACGTCATTATCTCCGCCAGCATTCCACCACGACAGCAAGAGATTCTCAAGGAGTCTGGTGAAGACCTGCTGGATAAAGAGAAAGTAATGTCTTTTATTTTCAAATATGTATATGATAACTTGTTTTACAATTTCGGTTAAGCCAGTATGTTTTTGTTTTGATAAAATTGGTCACCTAAACATAATATTGAGTGTAGGCAGGTTACAGCATGGTTACATGAAGCCGAAAAATACATTATGCATTTTTTTAATAAAATAAGGGTGATAAACAAGCACACAGTTCACCTGATGGTAAGTGGATGCTGTGGCATATAGACATATACATTTATCCTCTATTAAGAATCAAATGCAGATGATGCGTTGTCACCCCTGAGGACTAAGATGGAATGTCTCGTTTCCAGTAAAAAAGGTCTCCGGGTCTCTACACTCACCATATGGAATACAGAAGTAGCTGCTATTTTACGCTGGTATTCTGTGAGAGTGTGGTTCTTCCCCGGTCGAGCTGACTCATTCATGCTACAACCATTACATAGCTGCAGCGTGACTCTACCATATATAAGTGATTGATTAATTAAGCCAAAGCAACTCGAGGGCTACTTCTATTCATTCATTTCGGTCTATCGAAAGCCCACCTTTAGTTAAACCTATATACGTCCCACTACTGGGCACAGGCCTCCTCACATCTCTGGAGCAAGGAAGTCTCTGCCGCACTGCCTCAGTGAGTGTTGGCGAACTACACATGTCTTCGAAATATATTTTTTCTTGTTTCTCATGCAGGTTTCCTCACGATGTTTATCTTCACCGATAATGGTAAATCAGCACTTAAAATTGCAATTAACAATTTCGTTGATGCCGGCGGAGATCAAACCCGGTTTGCTCGCGTGCTGTGAAATATACAGTGAGCGCTAACCATCTGAGCTACCACACCTCTACAAGTATCCGATAGCGAATATACCGATATAAACTATAAAGTCAACTTAAAGATTAGGTAATTGCTACCATGCTATTTCATATACTGCATGACCATTTTTACCGTCTGGAAAAAATAGGATGTAACATTTGAATGGAGTTTAAGCCTATGGCACTGTAATTTTACAAAAAATAAAAACAAAAATGTTGGATTAAATAAATTCATTAATTAAAATCTATCGAAATTCAAATCATATCCACCCTAATTTACGAACAGCAAGAAAACAATAAAATTAGTAGACATCTTTGACCTTTTTACTTTGCGGGGTCACAGGCTAGGGTACACCTTCCCTATTTGCAATTCGGTGTTTGCGTAAAAGGGTTGTCTGGAAGAAATCGCTTCCACAGCGCCCCTCATGTACCGAGGACATGTTGACATGTCCACGTTTTGTGACCGCTGAGTACAGAGGACATGTATACATGTCCGCATTACGTGCTGCTATTTTCGTCATTAATTGATATAAAAATACAGTATATTTTCGATTGAACACTATTTCATTCGATTCTGAACGAACTAAAGAGTATTCTGAAGAATTATATTCACTCGGTTACATAGACAAAATCAAATATAACAGCCATTCGATTTTGCGCTGTGCTGTTAACGGACCGTTCTAATGTGTATAAATATGACCGTTCTAATAAGAATAAAGAATATATTAATTGATTGATTGTACACTACTATTTAATTCAAAGCATTACAAAGGGAGAACTTAACGCCTTTTGGCATATTCTCCTAGTCAAAATCATGTGCGTGTCTTAGTAAAGTTTTATTATTTTTTTACGTGATATAGCCATGCTGTAGCTACATTATGATTGTAGCACGAGGTTGGCTCGATCGGGGCCACAATTCATATGGTGGGTGTACTGGAAACGTGGCATTCCATCTTAGTCCGGAGGGGTGACAACGCATCAGAATTTTGATTGTGAATCAAGGATAGACATAGATGTCTATTGGCCATAGCATCTATTTACCATGTGAACTGTGTATTCATTTGTCACTCTTATTCTATTTAATTTTTGTTTTTATTCTAATTTATTCAAAGTGGAACCGATATCAGCTTCATTATATATATATATATATATATATATATATATATATATATATATATATATATTACACACAGTAGTACAGTAACTTACTATTCGCAATAATGCAGCCCACAGTGCTGTTCACAGATTAACTCTTGGGATAGATAATTAAGACGCTAGGAGACCTGCAGCTGTACAGAACGTAGTATATAAATGTCAAAGTATGGTCAACAATGGTATAATAATGTGACTAAGGTAACAAAATTATCATTTGAAAAGTGTCTTGTATAAAAGACCAAATTTTATAAAAAATCTATTTTCACTTTACAGGAAGCGTGCATTGACGTGCTGAAAATCGTCAAGTCTCGCATCAACTCTCAACACGAAGACATTTCCTCCCACCTTCTGCTTTCGATCTTCAAGATTGCCGAAGTCGATGTGGTATACCCAACGCCGCCTAGTTCCGCTGATATCGCTCACCGACCTGATGAAAATATTTATATATTCATCGTCCTTATCGTACTTATTCATAATATCAAACAATGCATCTCATTCTTTCTTACCTTCACATTCCTCAAAGATATAGTCAATTATTTTTCAACTTTACTTAAACAATCTGTCACTGATAATTCAAATTATTCATCAATTATCGTTCCTTTTCCCAAAAAGAGTTATATTTTCGAAAATAAAATCGACATTGTATCTACTTTGGGATACTTCGAAGAATTTATCAAAACTAATACAGTAGATAATGTAAAATATGATAAAATGCACAGTGCACTCGCTTTAGATGACGCACGTATAAGTGAAATCACTAAGAAAGATATAGGTGATGTTGAAAATATATTTGTAAATAATTATAATGAATCGAAACATATCATGAAAGCTGTGAGTATTACAATATGTACTAATTTTAATATACTTGTTGTCGATGCAATTATACTGAAATATTTTTCTAGAAATGTGTATTATGAAATTGAATGTACTATTAATGATTCTACGATGCTTTTTGGGGAATTTCATTTTGGAAACATGACGTCCTTGTCTTATGGAGTTGTAAAATTCGATAGTTTAGGACTGACTCTAGCGGTAGTATGAAGACTGAGATGATTAACTAAACATATCATAGTTAAGTGTACTTCGTTTTATTTTCGACTTAGAACTGGTGCTTGTAGGTCGATCTCAAAGGCTGGGTTTTTGTAAATAAGTACTATGCCTTTTACACTGTTAGGAATCTATTTATTTCCAGTAGTGTAGAGACTTGTGCTACAGACATCTGGGAATGTCTCGGCTTTTATTCATTAGTTTTTAATTTTTTGACCTATAAAATGACGTTTACTGATAATTTTTTGTCCTGAATTTTTCTAATGTTTTTAACTATGAATGTAGAGACTTGTCTGTAGCACAAGTCTCTACACTAAACATATATGTTTATATGTTTAGTGTAGAGACTTGTGCTACAGACATCTGGAAATGTCTCGCCTTTTGTTTGTTAGTTTTTAATTTTTCGACCTATAAAATGACATTTACTGATAATTTTTTTGTCCTGAAATTTTCTAATGTTTTTAATCGTGGGTCGTGGGTTAATCGCACAACTATTTATCTATGGTGCTTAACTTTTTTCTTTTTTTAATTAACATGTTTTAATTTATGATCTTTAGTAAACACGTGTCTCTAGGTAAGAATTTCTAACAAATAGTTCGCTGATAGGGTAGAAGCTATTTTAGAATGCGCCTTTCTGTTAGATGGTAATTGTATGTATTACCAGATAAATGTGACTGCACGATTAGATTTTGAAATGGGAAAATGACACAGCAACTTTCAGATAAATGCGTTAAGAAGACTTGCACGGAAATACGAAAAGAAGACTATTATGTTCATTATTTAATATAATTTATATAAAATTTAAGAAGAATCATTGCATTATAAAAAGATGTTTATTATTTTATGTACGTTTTAACATTGCAAACATTCAAATTAATCCACATTTTATTTATGCATAAATTTTTCAATGACTGCCTCGTCGGTCAAGTGGTTGTAGTTGTGCGACAGCTGATTATGAGGTGCTGGGTTCGGATCCCGGGTCGGGCGAAAAAATTAATTATTGAGTTTTTCCGTCAAGAAATTCTCAATAGCTGCCCGGAGTCAGGAAGTTGGCGGTATATCAACGTAAAGCCGTTGGTCCTGCGCCTGATCTCTCTCCGGTCTTGTTGGTTTACCGTGTCATCGGACTATGAGAGTGAGGGAATAGAGAGTGCACCTGTGCTTGCGCATACACTTGGGCACTATAATCCTGTCCTGCGCCGATGGCGAGTCTCCGTTTGATGCAGGCCGCCGTGACCGAAATTCGGTCTGGAGGACATTATTATTATTAATTTTTCAATAATATAGTCTTGTAAGCCAATCATTCTTGAAGATACAAACTAAAAATTTTGACAAACTGACACGATTTGGATGTTTAAATACAAAATTATTCTCACTGCACTCGAATGTTCATGCACACTGGTATGTTTTTAGGGCAGATTCCCTCCAACCAGATCTGAGCAAAGTTCTTTTCGCCTCTGAACACTCGTTGGTAACATCGCTTCAGTCAGCGCTTTAATATATTACTTTCATAATTTCTATTAGTATTTATGGAAATATTTTTTATATTTTCTTATCCGTTTGTAGTGCAATATAAAAAATATATAAAGTGAAATTTACATGGTAATTCGTATTTGCAGATTAAATACAATTGTTATGTATTTAAACATTCCCAGTTTTTCCTTTGAAAAAAAAGGAATTTTTATACTCCAGTGGTCCTTGAGAGTGTGTAATTTTTTTATGTTTTCGAAGAGTACAGATTTTGCCGACGCGTGTTTTATTGCAAAAATATTAATCGACAAGACTTTGTTAAGCAAGTACGTTTGTACGTGTGAAGTTTACAGGCTGTTTACCTTACCTATACATATACAATATGTAACGTAATTAACGCACACCCTCAGACACCCCAATTAGTATATTATGTTATAATCATAATACATACACTGAATTTTTAGTTAAAACATTTTTATGCACTGATTATTTATCGAATTAGTTATACTAATTCCGGAAGAATGTTGTGGTCACAGTACAAATCCACGAACGCAAAGACTTTAACGTGCTTGAAATAAAGTTCATTTTTCTTTATTTTTATTGAATCACAGAATTAGTTTATATAGTAGTTTTATTGCCTTAAGTTACGGTCCATTTCACTTTGTTTTGACTGTACAGATTTAGTGTGACTGTAATTTACGTAGTTTTAATTATTTTTGGGATAAAAAATTACCTATATTAAAAATGATAGGAATCGATTCAGTAAACGATTCTGAACAAACTACTTTTTCAAAGTGCGTTAATTATGTTACATGTTGTATAAGAGGTTGATATAGAATAATTTTTAACTATTTGTGAATGTTTAATTACTGGTTTTACTTTCGTTTGGCGTGGTGTGTTCGTATCGTTTACGTGATCGTGAAGTTAACTGACGTCACAGATGTGTCAACCCTATGTCGCCATTATCTAATTGCAAAGTCTCCATTCTGCTAGCTATCTAACTGCACCGCAGGCATGAGATTGGTATACTCTGTACATTATTAGTAATGCACGTAAAGTATCATCATTTAAAGCCGGCTATACATGTTGGCCGAGCGAAGGCGACCAACGTATATACAGCACATTTATCTAACCTCGCCCTTGCTGGTCATTGCTCGCCTAGCTGGCTGTGGGTGAGCGCCAACGTGTTTACGGTTCGTTTGGCGTGCCTTGCCGCCACTCGGGATCGCTCGCTACGACTCGTGCACTTCGGAACAGTGTCGGTTTTTCTGCACAGATCAAAGGCGCTCGCCTGCAATCGGGAAGTAGTGTATACATGTTAGTCGGCCATTGCGGTGTGTTCACTCTTTAACACTTGGCCAACATGGAGACTGTAGCACTCGTCGTGAATCAATTTGTCTAACGTCATAATTTTGTTGTCGAAGTTGTTGTGTTGTTTTCTTAATAGTAGTTCACTTAGATACGGAACACTTAGAACTAAATGTTTTACTGGGAAATGAAGCGTATTTGTAATGTATTTATGCATTGAAATGGTAAAGAAAGAAGCTTTAATTTGAAGTAGAAAAAAATATTCTTGTGTTCAGGAGTCTTAACGAATGTAGCGCTCTGTTTAGAATATGTAATTATATGTGGGACTGTTTAGATTCGATGTTAATGCAATTAGATCAATGATATTTTTGATATTTTCTTCATTTCATTATCTCGTACTACACCTTTTGAACAAACTAAATGGCTTATTTATTCTTGTTATATCTACATATAATTTAAATGTAATTGTAAGATCAAATATACATATCAAATTAACTGTTTAGTGTTTACATTGTAAAATTAGGTAATTTTCTTAGCGAATTGTTGTTACAGTTGCGGTAAATAATAATTTAATTTTTCTATACACTTGTGTGGATACATTTATATGTATTATATTTGTAGTTGCTTAATTGGATACTAAATTACTAAAATGATCAATCTCTTTATTTTTTCACAAAGACGGAGTAAAAATACGTGCTGAGGTCCGCCTCATTTAATTTCGAATTTAAGATCTTAAGATATTTTGTTCATATTTTGAACTACATTTTGGTATGTAATGAATGATGATACACATTTTCCTCAAATGCTAACAAGCCATTTTGTATTTATATTTAGATACTATATTTATATTATACTTTACACTCATTTTAGGTACTTACATGCTATCTTATACAATACTATTTTAATTACCATAAGGTATTTTTATATTGTTTCAAGTTATCGTTATTTTAAATAATGAGCAACGAAAATGTTGTACATTTCAATATTAGTGTTTTACGTAACAACTAAAATATTTAGGATTTCGTTTAATTAAATGTTTATCAAATGGTTAAATGAAACTTTAAAAAAGTAATAAAATAATATTTACGTATTATCATTTATAAAACAGACGTAAAATTACGAAAATTTTGTAACACTTATCTACTGTGACTATTACTAGATATCCATTGTTAAATATGATTTCATTACTATATCGAATATTATTATTACTGAAATCAATTTTTACTTTTGTTTTAAATTAAATATAAATTTGTGCAACGTCTATCTAACAAAGGAAGTAAAAACATCAAAATAATTTACTAATTTATTTACCTATACTAAAGAGGTCGCTACTAGTCTAACGTGTTAAAAAAAGTTAAAATATGATGAACTTTCTACCTAGTTGTTTCATTTATTTGTTAGGTTTTAAAAAAAATTCAAATATGATAATTAATAAAAGTAATATTTTGTGCGTATGCTAATCGTTAAAACTGTTAGCTAGTGCTTATGTATGAAACATTTACGTACATTTGCTTTTCTTATAACAAACACCTACTGCTTAAGTTTCTCTCATACACTTAGTAGGTAAACCAAAATATAAAGAATTTATACCTTTATCATAATATTTTGGTTTAAACTACTTCAAAGATTTTTTTCTTATTTGTTAAATACTATATCTAAAATAATAATTATAAAAATTGACTCTTTAACGAAACATATCATGAAGCTCAATTTTATACCTATTGTATTTCTAGCGTTAGATGTTGCAAAGCAAGAATGACGTAAATTCTTACGTAGCGTAGAATATAGAGAATTATATAGATATAATAAATAAATATAAAATTGTAAAGAAATATTCAAAGTAAAGTTTATTTAATTTTATAGTTAAACTCGTAGTTTTCTGAATTGTTTTAATAATTTGTTTGTTCAATATTTATTATTTTTTCTCTTCTCGAGATGTATACAATAAAAAACATCAGCATTTGAAAAGATGTGAAAGCCAACTATGGGAAAATATTAATTACCTATTGTTACTGCTTACGACTGCAAATTCATTTTTGAACTTTTGCTGTATAAACATACTGGCCAAGCAGAAACTGCACGTTAAAGAAAATACGCAAAAATGGAAAAACAAAAAAAGAAAGAGTGACGCTATATCAGTTGTGTGCAACAGTCGACTTTAAGTTTTGAAGTCCTAACACTTATAACAAATTATGTTTTTACTACCTACATATTAC